AGCGTATATTAAAAAATCCAAAAAGGGAGAAACTATTTGCTGGGATTTGTTTGGATCTTTATATTTGTTTCAAGAAGTTCAAACTCTTAATATTTGTGGCAGCAAGGGATGTGGAGGTGGGTCTTTTGTGGGATTGAGTTCATTTTTCAGGTTCCCTTTGGGCTTCGGTTCTTAAGAGTTTAACTATCAGTCTATATTTTATGATTGGAGTAGTTGTCTGCTGTCATGACATATTATGAGGTCTAGCTCTATTTTGCATAGCCTAGCTAGACTAGTGGACAACTTGTCCCCTGTAGTGTACTGTTCTATTTTATCATTGGAAGTGTGATTCTTATTAGACAAAGAAAGGAAAAAAGAATTTTAGCCCCTTTTTTTAAATTTTTTTTTAATACCTTCTGCTAACTCAAATGCACTGATGTTCCTGTTTGCGAACTGTTAATTTCTTTCACTTATGTAGGTATATTGAAGCCAGTAAAGCTCGTCTTTACCACTCCGGTGGTGATTCAGTTGCTTCTGTCACACAGGCAGTTCTATTGTATGTTTTTGAAAACATACTTAAATTGCTACACCCCTTCATGCCATTTGTGACTGAGGAGCTCTGGCAGGTAAATTGATTTACTGTATTCAACACTTGTGTGGAACTCAACTTCTCTACCTAAAAGGTCCTTATTGGTTTCTTTAGGCTCATTTGTTAAAGGAAAAAATATATATTTCTCCATGAACCATGTAAAGATTTCTACCGAGAAGGAATGGAGATAATTGTCTTAGGTTATTCTTCTCCTTAAGATTACGTACAAGGAAAATTGCCTAGGAAGAATTCGTAATTACATGCAGAATAATATAGTATAGAGAATAATCATATATGATATACCTAATATGTAGGATTCTTGGTGTCTCTGAAGTCCTCAGAAATTCATTTCTCAGGATTATTTTTCCTTTTCCCATTTAGTAAAACTGGTTGTTTCGAATTGGAATAGATTTAGGTTTTCGGAAGATGTTTGGTTCGCAGAGTTGTCATTTCTATCTTATTTCTCAGCTTATATGACATATCCTTGAAACATTATGTTGTCATCTCTTCCATAATATCTCATTCTCCTTCTAGGATCTCTCTTGGGATTTTACAATTTAGAAGGAATTTGAATGACTTAGAGCTCGAAGATTTATCATATTTGCTGTCTCAAATAAATTATGGTTCTCTGAATCAGAGCCAGTGCGGCAATATATCTTGGTCCAGACATTCTTTGGGTAATTTTTCGTGAAAATGGTTGATAAATAATCCATTGGACCTCACATTTAAGCCAATTAAGATGATCGGAAGGCTGGTGTTCCCACTAAGTTGCAAGTTTTCACTTGTTTAATATTTCATGGGAATTTAAATAGCTGTTAATTGCTACGAAGAAAGTCCCTTGAATGCTTATCTCCACATTGGTGTGTTCTGTGCTAAATAGAGGGGGAAAGTGGATCACGTCTTTAACATTGCCTGTTCACAAGACAAATTTAGGCATGGTTTTGTTTTTATTCATGTGGATAGATTCTCTTTTAGCTTCATTTTGCTACGATAGTTAACTCTTAAGTGTATGCTTTCAATTTAGGTTTCTCTGTTTTCACCTCCATTGTACTGTTATCTATAATGTTTCTCTATTTTCCATTATAAAATGAATGGTTGATTTAATATAGGCACTCCCATATCGAAAAGAAGCTCTTATAATATCTCCATGGCCACTGACTTCACTTCCAAGGAAGAGCAACTCGATTAAGAAGTTTGAAAATTTACAGGCTCTGGTGAGTAAATCTTTCTTCCTGTTTCTCCTTTATTGGCTCCACATCCAAGTCTAGCTGGCACTTTTAGATCTCTTGTATCTTTTCCTTGTAGTCAGTCACGTGGATAATTAAATCACTCAAGTTTGCTTCTTTGTGTTTCTTAGACTAGAGCCATCCGGAATGCTCGAGCAGAATATTCTGTTGAGCCTGTAAAGCGTATATCAGCCTCAATAGTTGCTAACGAAGAAGTCACTGAGTACATAGTGGTACGTATCCATTTCTCCAGCCATGATTTTGCATAAGATTAAAATGTAAGAGCTGATGAGGTGCTTTTCAAGTTTGTTCCTGTATTATTTTGCACTTTTGTGAGAACGAAATGAATAAACTCAGGGTGTAACGAATTGGTGGATCATTGTTCGAACCTTCAGTAAGTGTAGGGCCATAGACTGAATCATTCTTGAGATGTGTGTCCTGGGCCATATTAGTTTGAGTTCACTGATGCCAGCATCAGAAATCATATCATAAAGCTGTCCATGCCCCCACTAGACTACTATGGGCCAGGTTTTGCTGGCCCAAGCATGGCCCTGCTAGAGCAAAAAGAGTCGGGCTTGGTTTTAATTTTTAAGCATTAAGTTTTGCATATAATCTTGGAGAGTTCGTGCGTCTGAAGTCTCATCAGCAACAAAAGGAAAGGCATGCGGATGAGCTCGGATTTCAATTTTTACAGGAAAACCCTTAGTTTAGAGAAAAAGAAATCGAGATGACTAGTTGTTCTGTCTTTTCTTTTGATAAGTTTATTATTTCAATTCATATATGTTTTTCTTGTATATTCCGTGCATACTTGCTGTCGCAGGGCCATGTCCAACAATTTTAACTTGGGTTGACTCAACTATTTATACAATTATTTGGTTTGGACATAATTATCATTAGCACTAGCTAACTTAAATATTCTATTTTGATGCAGAAAGAAAAGGAGGTTTTAGCACTTCTCTCCAGGCTAGATTTGCAAAACATCCATTTTACAGATTCTCCTCCAGGCACATTTCTTTATGGATTATTTTCCATTTGGCCAAGGAACAGAAATATTCATGTTTATTTTCATTTATCAATGGCTTTTTCTATGATCTGATGTTGAGCCATATATTTTGGTGGATTTCATGTATTTTACTTCAGGGAATGCGGATCAATCAGTCCACCTTGTAGCTGGTGAAGGACTAGAGGCATATCTCCCTCTTGCTGATATGATTGACATTACTGCCGAAATCCAACGCCTATCTAAGAGACTTTCCAAGATGCAGACAGAATATGATGGACTTAAAGCTCGGCTCAGTTCTCCTAAGGTATGAATTCTGTTCACTAATGTTTAAGCACTTGGGTTTGGTATGCAGGGGGGGAGTACTTTACATGTCTAATTCTCTAAGGATCCATTCAGCTAAACGATTGGATTTAGATTTGATAATAGGGGTAATTTGTTAAAAATTAACAAAAATTAAATATAACCTAAAGCATTAGGTAAGATGTATTTGGAATAACTAGATATGAAAGCTACCTATACAATGGTTCTCTTAAGAGGATAACTGTAACTTATGGAAAAATGCAGACATCAATAAAGTAGGTTGGAGTTGGCTTCTTAGTTAAATTTTTTGCTTCAAATGTTGAAAAAAGAAACACTAAAACTGAGTTGTGATCTTTCTTGTTATGATGCATGCATGTACTCTTGAGTCCTTTCTTTCTTTTTCATAGTACCTTGGCATGCACATATCTCATGTACCTCTCACGATATCGTCTTTGCTCATGCAGTTTGTAGAGAAAGCTCCAGAGGATATTGTCCGTGGAGTCCAAGAAAAGGCGGCAGAAACAGAAGAGAAGATTACTCTCACCAAAAACCGTTTAGCTTTACTCAAATCAACAGTTGTGGTTACATAATCAGACCATTTGTGATCCCATGCTCCATTTTTTGATTGGATATATCCCATGATCCATATGGGATTTGCATCTTCTGCACTGTGCAGTACTGAGGTTGGCCAACATTATTTTGACAGCAATCTATTACCATCTAAAGGATCAATGTGCAGTAAACTTGGCTTCAAATTAACTAGTCTGGAGATAGCCTTTTTTTTTCTTGTAGCACCGAAGCGTCCAATAGATGCTTGGCCATTAATTTTTTTTCCCTTGTAAATTTTATATGCTACTCAGGTTGTTTGTAATATGCCATTTTTCTTACAATGTAGGTTAATATAGTTGAGGCTCTAGCCATTTTTGTCCCCTTCACAACTTAAACCAGAGATTGGAGGTGATCTTCCCAAATTTCAGCTGTTGTGAAAATAATCTAAAAACTTGGGCTGATAAATGTGCGCCTAGAGTTCAACGTTATTAAGGGATTTTCAATAAAGCAAAACATTTATATAAAAAAAAAAAAAAAACTCTGGCGATTAATGTTAGGCACTTCAAATCTTATGCTCTTGTTGATCTTCACTGTTGTTAGCGTTAAACACATGAAAGCATAATCACTTAAACTACAAGTTCTGTGGCGTTTACTTTATCTTTAAAAGGTATACAGAGAAACGAAAGTATCCGTGAATTTACTATCTAGGTTTTCAACAATGTTGATTTTTGAATTGAAAATATCAATTTAATATACCAAAGTCACGAAATCAATCTCTAATGAAAAAAAAAAATAGTGAAATCAATTAATTGAATTTTGAGAGTTGAAGAACCTATATTTTAGCCCAGTGAAAAGGAGTTCGATCTGGTCTGAATGTTCATGAACTGTGAAAAACTCGCATCCCCTTTATAGTATGTTCATGGGCAGATGAAAAACTCGTCTGCTCTTCTAGTTTAGACTATCACTTGTATTCAAAAAGAAAGAAACCAACGAGTCAGCCACGGCACAGTGAGTCGCTGACCCACTCCGCACCCAACCCAACCCCAATATTATTCCGTAGCGAACTCTACCCCAAAATCTAGCCATGGACTCAATTAAACTCTCCTCCGCTACTAAGCTCCCCATTAAACGCAAAAACCCCGC